CCTAACAGAGAACCAGAAAGGTTTTCAGCCAAAATACTGAGAAGAAAACCCACCAGGCAATGAAGAGTTCACAGCTCGGAGCACATTTGGCAGTCCTCATAACTCACGCCTTGTTTCTTCTCACTGATGCTCCCTCTTCTCACGTTCTGTGTGTTTCTTTGAATGTCATCTGTCCAGAAGGAGAAAGTAACTGTTTATTTCCTGCCGTGCAGAGGCTTGAAGCACCCTTCCACATTCTAACATAGTCCTATGAGTAGCTAGCAGGTAACCCAGACACAGAGAGCGGAGAGAGGGAAGGTGTGGCTGACCCTGAGGGTCTCCTGTCCTGGGTGAGGGTAGGAGACAGGTACATGGCAGCATCCATGTCACTGGAAGGAAGAGGGGGCTGGGATCACAGCTTATGCTGCCCAGCAAGCTCACTCCATTGTTGTTTTTCAGGGGTGAAATCTAGGACAAGCACCCCACCACTGAGCCACGCCCCCAGCCCCTCACTGGGGGATTCTAGGCAGGGCCTCTACCACTGAGCCACGCCCCCAGCCCCTCACTGGGGGATTCTAGGCAGGGCCTCTACTACTGAGCCACGCCCCAGCCCCTCACTGGATTAGTTGTAAGCTATCCAGAGCCTCAGCCCCAGCCACTGGGGCTGAGTGTGAGCTTCCTCATCCATTGCCTAGGCCATCCTTGAACTAAGGCTTCTACTGCCTTGGCCTCTTGAGGGTTAGGATTGCCATGCTTCACCGTGCCCTGCTAAATTCAGTTTTTATCTATGTAGAGCCTTGGGGTGGGAACTTGAGGTGGGCTATATTGAAGCCATAGCCTCCCTCTTCTTAAGAGCCTCAAGCTACTGACGGCAGCCTTGAGCATCAGAAGCGATGGTTAGCTGACCTTGGGTGTTCCATGGAATTGTCAATGGTCCTGAAGGGCGGTCCTTGGGGCATGCACATACTCCAGCCTTGGTATACCCTGGTTTCTGGCTTTGGCTTGCCCAGAGTAACACATGGAAAACCACTCCCTCCGTGTGAGAACTGTGCCATTGGCAGCTGGGAGAGTCCCTTGCATTTTCTTCATGACAATTCTGTCTATTCAGTAGCCTTGTAGGAATCAGGTTCATCGTCACCTAACAAGCTGCCCTGCGTTTAAGGGTTGGGATTGGACAGCTTTGGGCACACTCACCTGAGATCAGTCTTTTTATCTGTTATTAACTGCATGATAAAATTTCTTTTCCTAGGGAGCCGTTGGAGCCAGCTTGGCTTGGTGGGCAAAAGATGTTTGGGTTTGTATCCAGGAGGGAGTTCCCCTTATCCTGTGCCCTTGATGCCCCAGGACTGGCCATCTGTTGAAATGCCCTGGTGGCTGGGAGGCAGTGTGCACAAGACAGGGTCCTCCTGTCCCCTCTGCACAGGTGAAAGGGGACAGGGCCCACAGCCCTGGCAGCTGCAGCCTGACTTGGCTGAGCGATGGGGAGCCTTCACAAGCAGCTCAGCAGCCCCACTCCTGGCCAAATTTAGCATGACTCATTTGCTCCAGCAAAGGAATATAAATAAGCACCGTCATACCTTGACAGGTTGACAGGAATGACAACCAGAGTAAATCCCCGTATCTGAGACTCTGAGGGGGAGAGGTGATTTAGCAGAACCCGCTGCCATCGCCAGAAGAAAATAATTAAGGAACGCCGAGGTGGAGAGGGAACGGAGCGGCTGCAGCAGGTCCCTTCCGGTGAAGGGATCTGTCATTGTCGGCAGCAGGAGAGGACCCCACATGCCAAAGAGAAATGAGCTCTGGACGCTTGTGCTGACAGAGGAAGGGATGGGGAGGGGGCGCTGGTGAGGATGAGGGAGCACTGGGCGGGGGGTTCACCTTTAAGTCAGTACCTGCTGCTCACCCCACTGACATGCCCGCCCCCACCGCGCCACCGGCAAGGCTTGTCTGGAAGCTTTCTCATGTGTGTATGTGTGCTCACATATATGCAGGAGGGTGGGCACGCCGTCCTTTGTCTCAAAAGGGCATCACTTGTACCCAGCCCAGCAGAAGAAAGTGTCAGTGTGCCAGAGCTCTGCCTCTGCTTCCCTCTGTTGAGGTTTGGGTATGAAATAGCCCCCATGGGCTCATAAGTTGAACCCTTGGACCCCACCTTGTAGTAGAGTTTTGAAGGTCACGGTGCTGTTAGGAGGTAGGGCCTGCCAGGGAGACGTGGGTCACTAAGGGTAGAGCTTATATCCACTTCTGGGTCCGCTCCCAGTCCACCACTGTGGGAGGAGTTTGCCCGATGCTTCTGTTACCATGACTACCACATGCCTCCCCTGCCTCGGTGACTGCAGCCTCCGAGGCTGTGCACCAAAGTAAACACTTCCTCTCATTTCTGCCAAGTATTCGGTCACAGCAGTGAGGAAGTCCCCAATACCCTACCTCATTGGGAGCTGAAGAAGGTTCCAGAAGCTATGTGTGGTAGCCCACATCTACAGGCCTGGCAGGGAGATGGAAGCAGGAGGATTGTGAATGTGAGGTCAACCTGGTGTAAAAGTGGAACGCTGTCTTGGAAAAGAAGGTTCTGGAGTCTGGGGAACTGGCTTAGTTAGTTCAGTGTTTGACGTGCAAGCATAAGGACTTGAGATCTGCTCTTGAGCATCAAAATATGGAAGCCAGGCACAGTGGTGCTGGGATGTAGGGTCCCAAGAGCACACTGGCTGAAGTGATGAGCACCCCCAGTGAATAAGGGGGTCAGCGATAGAGGAAGACTCCAATGTCAGCCTTGGGTCTGTACCCACACATGTGCACGCACACACACACACACACAATCACACACATGCAGACACACATAAATGCACTCACATGCACATGAAAAAATAGAGAGTGGTTGAGGAAAACACCAAATGTATTGACTATGCATACATGCCCACACACGGTGACAATTCCAGAAAACTCTGGGCATTTAGGCTTCCATCCCAGAAGCAGCCTTTGTTGGTCTCCTTGCTTGCTAATGAATGAAGGATATGTGGGGCATAGCCTCAGACTGGGCACCATGAGATCAAGGTCACAGCACTGAAGCCAAGAAACTGAAGCCCACGGAGAGTCTGGGGCAGTGACAGCCTGGATATCCTTTTACCTGCTTAATATAGCCACTGTCCTCTGCCCAATACACAGAGACAGGGGGGGCGCTAGTTTACCAGAACCACCCCTTCCCTGCCAGGAGCTGGTCAGGTATAGCTGGGCACAGTGCCCCAAAATGCTGGCTGTCACTCTGGCTCTCTGCTTGTGTGAGGGGCAGCTGTTTCTCTGATTGTGACCAGCTTTCAGCAAAGTTTCAGAGCACAACTGTCTATTCCAGGGCTCAGGAACAGAGTCCCTGACATCTTAAAGGATGGGTAAGATCTCAAGTAGGAGACTCCTCGACAGAAATTCTGCCTTACCAACCAAGTTCCCCCAACACACCAAATGATCTGAAGCAACTCCCCATCCTGGCCAAAGTTTCATTTTCCTAGAACATGTTATCCTGAGTGACCCTGACCAGCCCAATGGGACCTCTTTGGTGGGCAGAGGGAACATTCCAGAACTTGATCAGTGACATGGTTTGGATATGAAGTGTCCTCCAAAAGACTTGTTAAATGTGAAAGATCCTTCACAGGCTTGGGTGTTTGAGCACTTGGCTACCTGGTGGCACTGTATGAGGATGTGGAACCTTTAGGACACCTGGCCTAGATAGTAGATATAGTATTATAGGGGCTGACAAGAGGGCTATACCCAACATGTTCAGCTTGGGTCTGATATTTCTGGTTTCCAGTCGACTGAAATATAACAGTTTACTTCCCAATCACAGACAGAAGCCAAGTCATCATGCCTTGCCCACCATAAAGTAAATCTTCTATATTTTGTTCCAATCACAACACAAGTATTAGTACAAGGTTCATGTATTAGAGGCTTGGTCCCCAGCTCTTGGTCCTACTTAGGAAGTTCTGAGAACTTTAGCTGGTAAGACCTAGCTTGAGGAAGTAGATCACTGGAAGTAGGTCTTTGAAGATATCTTTTCCCAGGTCCTATCCTGGGTTGTGATGTTTCCTGGTCAGCTGTGAGATAAACAACTCTCCTCTACCACATGCTTCCACCAAGCACACAACACCAAGCAACCATGCACTGGTCCCTCTAAAACAATGACCCTTGATAAATTGGTTTTATTTTGTTGTTGTTTTTGGTGCTTCGAGACAGGGTATCTCTGTGGCTTTGGAGACTGTCCTGAAACTACCTCTGTAGACCGGGCTGGCCTCCGACTCACAGAAATCCACCTGCCTTCTGCCTCCTGAGTGCTGGGATTAAAGGCATGTGCCACCAAAGCCTGCGTGTATTTATTTATTTAAGATCCATTTATTTTAATTTTCTGTGTATGTGTGTTTGCTACATGCATGTGTACCAATGTGTGCAGTACCTATAGAGGCCAGAGGAGGGCGTTGGAATATCTGGAACTGGCATTACAGATAGTTGCGAGTTGGTGTGTAGTGCTGGGAATTGAACCCAGGTCCTCTGGGAGAGCATATTTCCTCTTTTAATTGGCATTTTGTCTTGGCAACCAGAAAAGTAACTGACACAGTGACATACAGCTCTCTCTCCATCTTCCCCCACATCACCAATCAGCACTTGCCCATGCCTTGGCATTACTCACACCTTTAGGGGACACCAGGATGAACCAGACATGAATCTCATTCCCTTGACTGTCCGAGAAGGCCAAAGCTCTGATGGGAATGTCAAGGCAAGGGAACCTCCCAGGAATTCTGGAGTGCCATGGGCTTGGTGTGTTCAAGTATTGCCATATTCAAGTATGGAGCAGGGTGTGATGACAGGCTTAGAGAGGGGCTGGACAGAGCTTTCTTTTGAGTTCTTTGAGACTTAATGACTGAGTGGGGTGGAGGGTGGCCTGAGGGGGTTTTACCTGGTTGGGCTGGGCAGGTATGTGGTACTTCCTCACTTAACTTCCGCTGCCTAACACATCTCTCTCCTCTCTTGCTTTCCAGGCATGAAGTTCAGCATCAGGCCCCAGCATGTAAGTTCTGACAACCCCATAAATGCCAGGCGCCTGGGGGAAAGTAGGAGAGGATGACAAAGACAATCTGGAGCTTATGGTGAATCCATTCATAGGAAGACAAATGTACCGGGTCTTTTCCAGGAGCCTTGGGAACAAAACCCGGGCTTTGGATCCATGAATTTCCCCTTTCTGTTAGATGGCTCCTTTGGACTCCGCAGTAAATCTGAGCAAGCCTCCTGCAGGCCACCTGGCCAAGCCGAGGTTCCTGGGGGGACTGCACCACCTAGTGGTAGAAATTATATTTGTCGTTCAGGTTCCACATTTCTGCAACATTGTGTGTGGCCAGCGGGTCTTAGACCAGAGGCTCACACCAACAACACCGCCAGCCTGTTGCAACTTCCCTTTCCTGAAGAGGAATGTAAGCCAGAGTGGGTAGAGCCCCCCCCCCCCGCCATGTGGAGGGCCAGGGTTATGTGGCCCGCCATGCCCAGTTGTCCTAAACACCCTAACTGCTACTCTTCTTGTCCCAGGATGGCCACTTGAGGATACCCACAGAAAGGGTCACACGAGATTCACCTAGCCGGTCCCCAAGAGGTCTTCAGCTGCAGGTGCCTGACCAGCCTCGACCTCACCCAAAGGCAAGGGCGGCGGGGTCTCCTTTGCGACTCCGGCAGCGCAGACGGAGACTACTCATCAAAAAGATGCCAGCTGCAGGGACCACCCGAGGCAACAACTCATCCGAGACCTTTGTCCAGCCGAGACCCCACACCATGGACAGTCGCTGGGTCAGCCTGCACCAGAGCCAGCAGGAACGCAAACGCGTGATGCGAGAAGCCTGTGCCAAGTACAGGGCCAGCAGCAGCCGCAAAGCCGTCACTCCGCGCCACGTGTCCCGCATCTTCGTGGAAGACCGCCACCGCGTGCTGTACTGTGAGGTGCCCAAGGCAGGATGCTCCAACTGGAAGCGGGTGCTTATGGTGCTTGCAGGGTTGGCCTCCTCCACTGCGGATATACAACACAACACTGTCCACTACGGCAGCGCCCTCAAGCGCCTGGATACGTTCGACCGTCAGGGTATCGTGCACCGCCTCAGTACCTACACCAAGATGCTCTTTGTCCGGGAACCCTTTGAGAGGCTGGTCTCCGCCTTCCGAGACAAGTTTGAGCATCCCAACAGCTATTATCACCCTGTTTTTGGCAAGGCTATCCTGGCCCGGTATCGGGCCAACGCCTCACGGGAGGCACTGCGGACTGGCTCCGGTGTACAGTTCCCCGAGTTCATCCAGTACCTGCTGGATGTCCACCGGCCCGTGGGCATGGACATCCACTGGGACCATGTTAGCCGTCTGTGCAGCCCCTGCCTCATCGACTATGACTTCGTGGGCAAGTTTGAGAGCATGGAGGAGGATGCCAACTTCTTCCTGCATCTCATCCACGCGCCTGGGAACCTGACCTTCCCGAGGTTCAAGGACAGGCACTCCCAGGAAGCTCGGACCACCTCGAGAATCACCCATCAGTACTTTGCTCAGCTCTCTTCCCTGCAGCGGCAGCGCACCTACGACTTCTACTATATGGATTACCTAATGTTCAACTACTCCAAGCCTTTCTCGGACCTGTACTGAGGGGTGAGGCCTGCTGGTCGGGGGAGGGCTTTGTCTGCCCACTCACCTGTGCATAGGCACCTCCCACCCTCTAGGAGCTGAGCTATCTATAGTACGGGGCTTGGAGGATGTGAGGTGTGGTGGCTGTGCCCCTAGGTGGGGGACAGAGGCCCAGACATTGGACCTTGACTCTTGTCCTACACCCATTTCTTCTCTGGATTGGCTGAGCTTGGTACGGAGTGTTAAGACGGATGCTCCAAGAGCTCAGCCAAGATGCTGACCAGGGAAACCTGAGGGCCCCAGCGGTAGGGGATGTCCTACATTCCCTCATCCTTTGCCTTGTACCAAACCACATGGTTTGCTGCTTTTCTATGACCCAGGGGAAGGTCTGAATAAAGCACACGGTTTCACAGTTTTCAAAGCAGTCTGTCTGTCCACCCCAAGTCATGCCGTGAGGTCATAGGGCCTGGCCCTGCGCTTTGGGGGAGTTTTAGAATTTTATTTTTCAGATCCGTTTTACTTTTTGATCATATGTGAATATGTGCACATGAGTGCGGGTGTCTGTGGAGGTTGGAGGCATCAGAATCCCCCCCCCCAAAGCTGGAGGTACAGGCAGCTGTGAACCTCCTGTAGGTCCTGGCAACCACACCCTGAACTCCAGGAGTAGTTTGAGGTCCTAACCGCAGAGCCATGTCTCCACCTCCTGCTTTTGTTTTGCTGAAGCAGGATCTTGCCTGTGTAGCTCTGGTTTGGGGGGATTTGTTCCTTTCTCCCAATTAGTCGTGTGGTCCCTCCTAGCAGAAAGACCCTGTGGGAAAGACAGAACCGTCCTCACTGAGGGAGTTGAGGCACCCTCTGAGTACTGCTAGGGCAGGATCGTGCTCTCAGTCGGCTGCCCTTTAGGGCTGCTGCTGGGACCCATCAGGCACCCAGAACAAACAGCAGTTAATTCTTGTGATTCTGTAATTTGTGAGGCCTGTGTGGAGTGTCTGTAGGGAGAGGGAGGCACTTTGTATTGGAGGCAGAAGTCATTGCCGGTCTCTCGGGGCCTGCCGGGAACCTCTGCCTGCCTTTGGGATCCGTGTGTGGAACAATCTGCTGGTCCTCTTGGGAGGCCGCTCCTAAAGTTGTTCCCCCTGGTGAGGGAGCTGTTTTTGGATCCCTAGGACCGGGCAACACTGAGTCCCCAGGGTAGTAGATGATGCTGGAACCCAGTTAGCCTTACACACTGGCTGGAGCTAGTACATCTCCATTTTGCCTCCACCATGGACTCTGGAATCTTCCATGACTGGAACAAGTACCTGAGGCCACATTCTATCCAGGAGCCCTGAGCAAGGGTGAGGCTGCCCTCTGGTTCCAGCTGGAGGTGACCATCTGATAGTGAGGGACCCAGAGGGACAGGGAGGAAGCTAAAATCACAGCCTGGGGCACTTGAGATTCATTTCAGACAGATGTTCAAAGGCTCAGGAAGCCAAGAGGGCTGTCCCTCTCCCTGAGCCAGAGCTGGCTGGAGACCCATGTGAGAGGAGGCAAATGAGGCCTGGCTCTCTGTAGCCCAGCAATAGCAGGCCCCAGGCTGCAGAGCTCACAATGTGAAACTGAATTTACAATGCAGAAAGTGTTGTCCCTGGGCGTGGGTGCATTTGGCTGAGCCCGGGGCAGAGTGGCCAGTATAGTCTGCAGCAAAAGGACACTGGAGGCCCAGCTGGGCATGGTTTACTGCTGCTCAGGGTCAGGCAGGATTGAGAGAGAGATAGAGAGATTCAGGGACAGGCTAAAGATAAAACACATCACAGGGTCATTTATCAGGGGCACCCCGTCTCGAGCTGGACAGGCCTACATGCAATGTGTCTATTACCGGTTATAAGGGAGGGGGGGAAAGGACATAGGACTCTGACAATAATCATAATCACCACCTTGATGGCCCCCAGCATGGCCATCAACTGAATGCCACAGGCCCAGCCCCACAGCCCTGCCTGGAATTCACTGCAGTATCTCCAGCCTCGGGGCTTGGGGCAGACTATTCAACATAAGAAAGAGTGTAAATGTATGTGTGTGTGTCCTTTGTCTGTCCTCCTGTGTGGCTCCCTATGACTGGGCACCTTGTATGAATGGGACCGTGGACAATCCTGCCCCTTTCCTCTCTGGTAGCACAGTGTATTCACTACCCAGTCCTGTCTCAAGTGCCTACCATGCTCCCTGAAAGGGTCCGCCTGATCAGAGATCCAGGAAGGGTCACTGGGGTCAAGAAAACTCATCAAGTGTGGAGAGTAACTACCCTGTCCCGGGTACCCGCCTCTAATGTGATCTATCACACAGGCCCTCACTAGGAAAGACACACTCACACACACACACAACACTCACACTCACACACACACACAACACACACAACACATACACACGATCCCCACCAGGTCTTTGAATGGCTGAGCTTCCCTGGATATAGAAGCCATTTTCTGGATAGACAACAATAGCCACTGCAAAGCCCAGGGTTGCTCATTGGCTCTGAAAATAGAATCCAACGCCCTCAAATCCCCTGGGGAGTAACCAAGCAGGTAGGACAAGCCACTTCTCTCCCACAGGCTTGACTGCCACCAACAGGGACTTCATAGATGCAGAACCACTCTTAACCAGCAGGAGGGGCTAAGTACTTGCGCCTAAACAGAGACCTGTGCATCCCTATTTGGGCCACCAGGTGGCAGCAACATTCCAGAGCCAGGTGGGTAATACTGCAGGCCAGAAAGAATTGTACCCCCACACTCTGTGAGATTTCAGCCTCCGCAGAGCCCCTGGGAGATTTTGGCCTCCTCAGAGCCCCTGGGAAGACCCCGGAGGCTACTTTCAAACGCACCAGTTCCAAAAGAACCTATCTCTCCCAATACCACACTTCCCAACACCTCAACTTCTCTCTCCCCTCATGTGGGCCCAAGATCAGGGTCACCAACACCAGGCAGGGGAATGTTTTCCGTCCATCCAAGTGGTACCAGGTATTCTTTGACCTCACAGGCAGCCTGCATAAACCACACACACACACACACACACACACACACACACACACACACGAGCATGCGCGTGTGTGCATACCCATCTTCACACTGACACACACACCTGTTCTCTCAAACACAGCCATCACATACATGGACACACGTACACACATAGTCATGAGCATCACCTCTCCCTGTGTTTAAATAAATGGGTCCTGTTTTCCTCCCAGCCAGCTCTCTCTCCTCTTCCTGCAAGACATAAGAACCCAAGCACAGTCCTTATGTTTCCCTTTGACAGAACACAAAACTAGAGTCACTCCAACAACAACAAAAAAGTCATGGTGGTGCACACCATGAAATCCCAGCAACCAGGAAGCTGATGGGCCGAGTTTGATCGTGACTTTGAGATCAGTCAGGACTGCATGCCTAGTGCGACCCTTTCTCAAAAATAATGAATAAGCCAGGCAGTGGTGACACATGACTTTAATCCCAGGAGAGGAGGCAGAAGCAGGCAATTCTCCAGGAGTTCGAGACCACCCTTGTCTCGAAAAACCTAAAATAAACAAATAAATAAATAGATGTCTTCCTCAGGGGCTTGCCTCAACCCTGGTCTATCTTTCCCGCCAGAACTCACCCCACTGACTGACTGCTCCTCTACCTCCTCCTTCTCTGAAAGCACCCTTCCACTTCCAACCCCACCCCATATCACACCCTCCCGCCTCTTTCTAAACAGTCCATGCGGTTGCTTCTGGCGCCTCCAGTATTCTGAGTCCCCTGCCCTCGCACACCCGCACCCCTGCAGGACACCTCCCCACCCCTATGCTGAGTCTCTGCTTTATACCACCGCCTGACCTCAGCAACTCTCCACCCCACTGGGCCAGCTGCCTGCCCCACATCCACATCAGCGCAGAGAGCGAGGGAGAGGGACAGAGAAAGAGAGAGTCTCAGAACTCGAGCCTCGCCTTCTCCATTCCAGTCATCCCTGCGCCCCCACTCCCGGGGTCCTGCCTCCCGAGGGGGTCTCCACTGTGTTCCCTTTCTCCTTCTGTCTCCTGAGCTTTTTTCTTTGTTTCCTGAGACAGCGACTTGCTATCATAGCTCAGGCTGGCCTTGGATGCACTTAGTAGCCCAGGCTGGCCAGGCTGACCAGCCTCTTCTGTATGCCAGCATCAGGATCATCACCATCAAAGGCTAACCAGGTTCTATTCCCTATTTGAAACTGTCATCTATACCCAGGACACTGTCCCCTCGGGCCTTGGCTCTTGAGGTAATGGCTAGGAGTGGTGGTTCACACATGAGGAGTAGCTCTCAGGAGACTGAGGCAAGGGAAATGCTTTGAGTTTAAGGCCAGCCTGGGCTACATCGTGAGTTATAGATCAGCCAAGGCAACAAAGTGAGGCACTGTCTCAGAAAACAATAGCAATAGGGCTGGCAAAATGGCCCAGGGGGTAAAAAGACACTTGCCACTAAGCCTGACAGTCTAAGTTCGAATCCCAGGACTTGCATGGTGGAAGAGGAGAACTGATTCTTAGAAGTTGTCTTCTGACCTCCATCCGCATGTGTGGCATGCATGTGCGCGCACGCGCGCACACACACACACACACACACACACACACACACACAAATAAATGTAATAGATTTTTTTAAAAAGAAGGGGGGATATTGGCCATGCCTTGGATTACTGCCTTCTTAGACCCCCCCCCCCCCAGTGAGAGGCTGAGGGTATGGGTCCCTGCTAAAGCATTTGTCAACACGCTGAGGCCTTAGGTTCAAGCCCCAGCAGACACACACAAAATGGTGGTATTTACAGGCTTACGCCATACTGCTCTGCATATTTCATGAATATATTATCTTATTTACTTGCCATTACCACCCTGTGAGATAGATATAGTGCAATTTTATCCTCCCCAGATTTTTACAGATAAGGACCTTGAGACACTAAGAGATTAAACAATTTGCCTGAGGCCACATAGCTCTGAGAGGACTGTTGCCCGTTTTCATGGCCAGGCAGTTTGGTCTGGTGTCAGGTCCTTACCATTTGAATACTTTGCTGCGCTTGTGGGGGATGGTCTGTGAGAACAAATTAGGAATCCAGCGGTCTCTGGAGCAAGGGAAAGACAAGCTTTGCAGGCAACTGAGATTCCAGACGCTGGAATGGCTGCCTGAGGGCTCTGATGAATGCCCCTCCCGTTGCCAGAAGGCAGCATGAGGGGACCAGAGCTGCCCCCACTCACCCACCCAGCAACTGTGATAGGAAAGAAAGGGACAGGTCCTGAGTGGGCTAGTGCATGCCTGGAAACTAACAATCCAGAAGCTGAGACAGGATG